TTTAAAATGTTTAATATAAATATTATTATTTTTTAAAATTATATTTCAAAGATTATTACGCATTGTTAGCTTTTTATATGGATTTAGAACTAATCAAAATTTCCTAAGCTAATATTAATAATTCTTATCATAATCTGAGTAATTATAAAATACACAAATCTTTTAAACAAGTTTATTTGTGACTAGTGTGAAATAAGATGAAATGTTATTCCAATTACTTTTTATGAATAAGGATAATGGTTTACAAAAAAAACCAAACTCCGTGAATTCGATAAACAGAATGGACATCGGTGAAGGATGAAGTGTAGATTTTCATTTTATTTCTTTCCTATGATATAAGGTATAACAATGCACATTTCTACAGATAAAAAAAAATATTTACTTCCATTACATTTTTAAATTTTATTCTTAGAAAATGTTCGAACACTTACTCGACACGATTGAGCCTGATCTTTCAAAGACAAGACGGTGTTACCAAAAGCTTCAAGATCAGCCATGAGAGCGTCATGTTTCTTCAACAATGCCTAAATCAATATATCATCATCAGCTCAGATTTAACCAAATCATTATGGCTACTTCTAAACAATCCAAGCACAAACTATTCAATGATATTATTATTATTAATGTCTAGGAATTATAATTCAATACTATTCTTCCTTACTATAATGCAATGTATCAGTTTGTTTCAACCTTCTGTTTAAACCCTCTTGATTAACCCATTCACTACTTAGGTGGGGGTGGAAAATCTCCCATCCCATGTGCAACGATAAAAATAAAAAATTCTTACTCTATGAAATCACAGTACAGCAAGCAAAAGTAAAGAATAAACACCAAATAGTCATATAATGACCTCTAGGTAGGCCTGGCAGTGTGCCAAATGAGATGAAAGCGGGGGATCAGTTGGGTCCAGAGCAACGAGATAAGATGGGAGGGCGAGTAGGACTTGGGTGTTCCAGATATGGTATCACACTCCTCTCTTATCTCATGCACTGATACAGCGTTGGTCATGATTAACACAATTATACTGTACAAATAATACACTTAGCACACTAATATAAATCACTAAAACTACAGTGTAAATCCCTAATTTATATATATATATATAGTAGGGTCACTGGTACAACTAAATACCAGCTGGAATTTCAAACAATGGAAGGAAAAGAAATTAGTGAAAGGGTAAATTAGCTGCACACAAGAAGTTTCACACATTTCACACAAGACGTTTCACACATTTCACACAAGACGTTTCACACATTTCACACAAGACGTTTCACACATTTTCTTCCATAAAACCAAATACTTTTTACTTGAAGAACTATCTGATACTCCCAAGCATCTTTTTTTTCTTCTTATATTACCATTCTGTAATATTACCACTGTTTACAGATTATTGCCATATATTTCTTATATATAAAAGAGCAGAAAATCTTGTTAAACAAAGTTTTTCAATTGATGTCACTCAAATCTAAATAACATTGACTTTTTTTACTTCCTTTTTCTAAGTCTTGTTCCAAATATATGACTTAATCATGAAATGTATATTAATTTTTTCAACTATATTACCTCAGCAGAATCTTCATCTTTTCCAAAATCTTGACTCCCAACAATTGGCTCTTTTTCTCTCATCCATGATTCAGCCTCATTAGCATCAGCAAAGTACTGGTGTGCCTGAAGAGAGTTGCCGAGGTCCTCTTTACGCTGGTGGGCTTTATCCTGTAAGTTTTAAAGTATAGAACTTTAACTAGTTAAAAATAATATCATTCACGTTTTTTGCATAGCTTATCAAAAATAAAATAAATAATTTTAACATGCAGGTAGAAACTGTGTAAAAAACACTGAAATTAAAATATTGTATTAAAACCAAATCAAATTTAACAAACATGCAAAAAAACATGCTACTGCTCAAATCTCAAATATCTGCTCAAATTTTCACCAAAGCTTCCTTATTAATGCTTAAATGAATTTCAGAGTTAAAATATATTGCTCATTACTTACACAAATAATTTTTCTAATCCCTTACAGGAAAAAGAAATACTATTTTTTTTTTATACGTAGAATCACAGACAAAAGGTTTCATTTGGTTTGTTTTGAATTTTGCACAAAGCTACACGAGAACTATCTGCACTAGCCATCCCTAATTTAGCAGTGAAAGACTAGAGGGAAGGCAGCTAGCCATCGCCACCCACTGCCAACTCTTGGGCTACTCTTTTACCAACGAATAGTGGGATTGACCGCACTTTATAACGCCCTCACGGCTGAAAGGACGAGCATGTTTGATGGGACAGGATTTGAACCAGCAGCCCTCAGATTGCGAGTTGAGAACCCTAACCACCTGACCATGCCAAGCCACAGACAAGAGAGATTGTCATCTAGAATGTAAGAAACAAAAGTAAAAACAGTAAACTATTACAAACCTTCAGCTGCACCCACTTTTCTTTGAGCAAGTCTACCCTCTTACGAATATCATCAGCAGCAAAATGACCTGAAATAATTATTACAACAAGTGTCACATAAATTTTACTGCATTTCAAAACACTATTTTTTCCTAAAAACTGCACACAGAAGTAGCCAATAGCACTATAACCACTGAACTTTTGAAACAGAAAAATAATTTTTATGTATACTGTAAATATCTTGTTCTGGAGACAATTACAAACGCATGATGGGGAGAAGAAAATTTTGCCAGTAACGAAGACATTACTGAGTATTCACAAATAAATCTTTCCTTCCAAATTTACCAATAGAAGTGTAAAGTAATCATCACCAGTATTAGGCTTATGGAATAAATCACTACCAAAAGGTAAAATATTTTTATTTTTATGCAAGACTTTTCTGTACACGTTCTGTTGTGGCCAAAATCTCAAGTAAAGATTTCCGTACCTGAAATTAAACTCTTCCACACCCATGTAAATTTCATACAAAATTTAAGAAAATAAATATGCAGAACACCTTAGGCTAATATAACGTACTGTAAAGTAAGCAAAATAAGTAATAGTTCTCTCAGACAGAACTTCATTATGTAAGTAAAATTCTCAAGCATGGTGACACACAAAAAACCAGTAATTTCTTTTCTTAATGCACAATAATAAAACAGTAAACAAAATCAATTCTACAAAGAAGTACAAGTATTTGGCATGCTCATATCTAAACTAATATGTATTTCACCAAAAGTACAAAATTTACTTTTAAACATAAACCAAAATGCAAATTCTAATATGCACTTGACCACCGTGACCCGTTGGGTCACCCACTATTCAGAGGTTATGAAGAATTCAAGCTAATATTGCACCAAAATGAAGATTTACTTTGAGATAATTTAATTAAATATTTCAATCAATTCGTGTTATTCATAATTCAAGAAAAGATATTTGATTGTTTATCGGGAGTAAAAGGAAAGACAATTTAATTTTTCAAAAAAGTGAAGTAAGAAGTTTTGTAAAGAGCTCGAACGGTAGTGTGACCCGAAATTATTTCTTATCACACGGTCTCTAATATACACCACAGTTACAGTTGGATAATGTCATTATTTATTATCATACTGTCTCTAATATACACCATAGTAACAATTGGTAATTTAATGTGATGTAAAATTACTCATGCTAGAAATTTTCATAAAGGTGACCCGAAATTATTTCTTATCACACGGTCTCTAATATACACCACAGTAACAGTTGGATAATGTCATTACT